GAGATAAAGCTACACACTACTTCTCTGCTTTAGAATAATTTGTATGAGACGTTAAAAATAGTAATTCGTTTGTTATGATGACGATCGAGAAACTTGAAGAAAAAGTCTTCAGGTATAAAGGGTAACTTGATATAGTTTAAAGGTCAATTACTCTGATTGGATAACATTCTTGCCTGTCATTCTGCTCATTAACATAAAAACTAGTATGAAAACACACTAGTATCTACTTTCACCACAGAGGGCGCGGTAAAAACGTCCAGTCTGGGTGATTTCGCGGTTACAGGTGATTTCGCGTTAACACCCCATTTCGGTATTTTGTTTTAAATCGCCCAGACTGTGCCAGTCTAGGGAGAATAAAACACTGTTTGAAAGTCAATAACAAGTCTCGCTCTCAACGAGATTTTGAAGGTAATTTGCGTCTAAAATCTGTTACTAAAAATGCTTACAGTTTCAGTGTCTTACACAACAGCTTTCTAAGAATGTAAGCATTACTAAGGTTGAACTTTGAATGTCATAGTAGAGAATGTCCTAATGTAAAAGTTTTTTCACCATCTTAAAAATTCAGTTTGAACAAAATAAGTTGTTATTTTTTGTTGATAACCAACTTGCATTGGAATTTATCATTAACAATGCTATTTTGTAGAACATTAAATAATATTCGTTTGAAGACAAATTCTAATATGCATGCGCAGTGACGTACAAAACAGTCAATGCGCATGCGTAATAAATAATTTTGTTATAAATAAATGTGCTTGTTTTAACTGACAATTCCCCCTGAACGCCTTTCTCTATGTTTCCAGAAAACCTGACTTGTTCTGATGAAGAATTTAAGTGTAATAATAGTGTCTGCATACCTGTTAAATGGGTATGTGATAAACAAGATGACTGCTCTGATAACTCTGACGAAAACGGATGTGAAGGTTAGTAAATAGCAGCTGTCACATTAGTACACCGAAACCCATTTTCGAGGTGACTTATTTCCAAACACATATTTCTTGATGAAGACCACATTTTGCTATAAACATGTAATATATGTTTTTCGTTACATCTAATTTCACGGCGAGTTTTTTGTGAAAGTTCATTGTTTTTTTGTTTTTTGTTTTTTCAAAATATATAAAAGATATTCTCTTTTCAAATTAGTCATTTTTACACTTTCTATGCAAAATAAAGCAGTAGTTGCGAACTTTTTTATATTAGCAACTTTTTATTTGTGTGTGCCTGTCAATTTTACTCTTACCATTATTGAATGCAAATACAGAATTGGTTAATTGTGCTGCTTGCTTGGTTACCAGAGAGGTGGGGCTAAAATGATTACCGTTGTTCATTCACATTGTAAAATTGCTATTCGGGCTCTGACCTTATACAAAATGGGTGTTTACTGTATATACCATATATATGATAAACACGCCAAAATAAATAAATAAATTACCCACTTCGATAAACTTGGACAGAAGATTTTGAACAAGATCAGTATAAAAATTGGAGGGCGTGATATGTATCTGTTTCTGTGAACGGACTATAATGTTTCTATACGCATCCCGACAGGAACACATAATATCGATTTTTCAATAACTATAAATCGATTTACCAATAACTATCAATCGATTTGTTTAGATCAAGAAAGGACGTGCGCAGACAATGAGATGGCGTGTAGTAGCGGTCATTGTATTCCTATGGCGTGGCACTGTGACGGTGATGACGACTGCAGTGACGGAACTGACGAGGTCAACTGTCTCCAGGACGGTAGGTGAATTGTTATTATACCTTATACCTTACTGAATGAACTTTCAAATCGCCCTCTAGTAGTAGACGCTCCTGTGACGCAGACGACATTCCCGGAAGTCGAAGATTCGGCGTTTCGCATGCGCGCGCATGCCGCTTTGGGGTGTAACTTAAACTCCATGAGTGATATTGTGTTTCTGGGTGTAGCAATCGATGTCACAAAAATAATTAAGTATAAATTCCCTTCTATCGACTATCAGCAAACTGAAAAGCTTGTATTTTCCGCCATGACAAAACAGGAGTATTTTTGCACACTAGTTTTGCTACTTCCGGGAAAGTGGTCTATGACAACGCGATTCTCCTGAGTACATCGCCAGAGGGCGCGACTTTCAAGAAAGATGTATTGGGATGCTTTTATTTATTTATTATTGCGTTTCTCTAAGACAATCTTCAATAAATAAACAAAAAAACAAACCAATCCTAGTAAAATAAAATAAACTTCGTTTCGAATTTAATATATTACAAATTAGCCAATCAAATCTGACTTTATTCAGGCCATCTACTGACATCTTTTGCGATCGATGACATGTTGACGGATCGATGAGTACTATTTTATTAGACTTGGCCAAATAAATCTGCGATAATTTCTCACAATCTATATTTTATTTAAAGATAGTGAGTGAAGTGAAAACATACATTAAACGTCAAAGACAGGAACAACTATCACATATGTGCACGGAAAACAATTTCGGTTCTAAGCCAATAACGTTTAGTCGTGTGAAAGCTGTTCATTTTTGTAGTAACTGATTTCAAGTCTCTTTTTTTCATGAAGTTACCTGTTCCTCAAGTGAGTTCACGTGTGGCGATGGTCAGTGTATCACGGATTCTTGGCGTTGTGATGGTGACACCGATTGTTCAAATGCGATGGATGAGACAGACTGCGGCTCTACTCAAAGACCATCATGTAAGGGTACTCAGTTCACGTGTGACGATGGGTCGTGCATCCACATGGCGTGGGTATGTGACGGCGACCCAGACTGCATGGACGATTCGGACGAGAGAGATTGCGAGAATGGTATTTGTTTATTTTTTTTTTTTTTTTTTTTTAAGTTTTATGTTTCTTTTATACTGCCACAGTCGTCGTGTAGCGCCACAATTGTTACGCAGCGCAACATGCGCAACGCGCGTTCGAATTCTAGCGCAATGAATTTGATACTGTAATATGCACCCATCGGCCGATATCATTTACATTTTAAAGCGGGGGGTCGTCACCTGCGCATGCGTCAGATGGCCATAGCGTGTCATTGTTTACAAACAAGCGTCTACCCATGAGCCTTTACGT